TTACTAATGAAATGAAGATCTTTTTAAAAGTTTAAAACCTCATTTAATTTTATGTCTTAATGGGTTTATACTGAGTACAATATTATATATCAGTAATAATTCAACTGTAAACCTAAAAATTTACCGCCAATTTTGAAAGAGTTGCAGCCTACTTCAGAAAATTGTTATTGAATACGTCAATGCTATTGTCATGAAATGTTTCTTCTAAGTATGTGGTCATTAAATAAATAATTAAAAAAATAAATTCAGGCAAAAGGAGAAAGTGCCTTGAAGAGGGAGGAATGTATCAAATCAAGACCTGTCCTGGAGTCTCCCCCTTTTAATTTTTTAAATATGTCTAGGTGTGTGTGTGTTTGCATGTATGTTTGTGTGTAAGCATGCATTTGCAGGTCAGAGGTGAAGGATAGGTGTCTTCCTCCATCAGCCTCTGCTATGTTTATCAGACAGGGTCTCTCACTGAACCTACAATTCACCAACTGTGCCAGACTGACTGACCAGAACACACCAGGAATCCTCCAGTGTCTGCCTCCCCAGCAGGGGGAAATCACAGGTGCCCACAATTGCACCAGTTTTTATATATGGGTGTTGGGGATCAAATGTAGGGCCGCATCCTTGTGAGACAAGTGCTTTCCTAAGTGAGCCATCTTCCCAGCCCTGGATGCCTCACTTCAATTACATGACACATTCTGACACAGTTAGCTCATCATATGCCTCGGAAATAATGCTGTTTCTCCCAGACTTGATAATTCCAAATTGTAGACATGTTTACCACACTTAATAACCTTCTGGGTAACCTGTTGTGAGCAGAACCTGGATAGTGGCGAAAAGATACGTGGCCAGCTCCTCCGCTTCTGATGTTCATAAGAATGATTTCTTCCTGAGTCACAACTCTATTCCCAATGCCAATTAAATATTTACAAAGCACTTAAAGAACGCCTCTGACTGCTCATATGAAAACAGAAACTCATGTTCATTTCAGTCAGCAGAAAGTTTTCCTCTCTCAAAATAAAGGCCTCTGAGTTTAATTCAATTCAATGACTTGAGTAAAAGGAGAAGGGGTGGGAGCCGAGTACCTCCTAAGCACAAAGTCCTGCTTCACACACAACACAGAAGTAAACTTCACAGCACTAAAACACTGTCAGAAATCACAACATTTCATCTTATTTAATTCATACTATTTCCTCTGGGTTTAAAGGCAAAATGAGATTCAAAGTACTTACCTTTTAAGCATTAAGCTTTTTTTCATCTCTCCTTAACATACCACAATCTATCTTGTTATATAAAGATGCAGTATTTTCTATATATTAACATATTACTTTGCATTTATTCATTAGGTTTTTTGAATGTATTTTAACATAAAGTTCCCATTTATTATACCCCAAAATAAAAATAGCATCAAAGTCTTTTTGCAACTCCCAAAACACAGTAAAGGAATAATGATCATATGCTAAAAAATGTAAAATGCAATTTGTGCGTGCCCCATTTACTACAAAATCACTATGAACAATGCATTTTGTATAGTATATTGCCCCAGGGAAACTGGATCAGCATCAGGAATGAATAAAGAACATTGCATTGGAAATCAGCTAATTCTGCTTCACTGCTTTTAAAAACTATTTGTCATGCTATTACTTCCTGTCAAGCTCATAATGTAATATTTTCCTCAATAAAACTGAACAGTTGCTGTAATTTCAGTTTCCCTCATTTTCCACTTTTTAAGCACTAAATATTTAAACAATGTAGACCTGCAAGTCTCCAGCCAGTCATCAGATCCACGCCTCTCCCCTAAGGTATAGCAAGGATGCTGACAGGACCCATTATGTCATGCTGAACGACACAGTGGCAGCTGTTGGGGTCCTTACCTGCCCACAAGCCAGGCCCATTCCTCTCTCTCCCATGCCATGTGGACACGATAAATTTAATTCCAGGGCATCTACTCCGGAAGCCTGTAAGATATGGGATGAAAGTGAGAATAGCCAGAACTTTATTCCAAGTAGTTCCCACCACTGATAACAGACGTCACATTGCCCAATTTTAAACACTGTGTTTTCCTACCACACCTACCACACCTGCCTTCTCAAGTATACTGTGACTCTCAAGTTAAGATGCTGATCACAACAAAAATAAAATGTATCCTGATGGCTTAAACTCATTGCCCTCTCTGCTTTATATTAATATATAATTCATAATCTTAAAAAATTAAGCTACAAAATTCATTTTGTGCACTCATGTGTGTATGTTTGTATGTGTGTGGGTAGGTATCATAGCCCATGTGGTGGTCAGAGGACAACTTGCAGGAGTCTGTTCTTTCTTTCCACCATGAGTATTCCAGAGATCAAACTCAGGTTGTCAGGCTTGGCAGCAAGCAGCTTTACCCACTGAACCAATCCAAGAGTCCCGATGTTCTTAATGTTCATGTTATTACAATAAGAATTCTGTAGACAAGAGATGTGCAACATAGGAGGTTAAATGACAGGCTTGGTTATGAAGTGCTACAATAGAGATGTGAACTTAGATCTGTTTGGGGTCCTCTGTATTCTTTTCTAAACAGCTTCTATTCCTGTAGAAGCAAATCTTATTAATTGTGGGTAACATATTGGAAGGCATCATGCAAAGAAAAATGGAGTAGGCTACCAAAGATAAATGAACAGAATTTTTAAAAATCAGACTAAAAAATCAATTATATCATATTTAAAAACAGCCTATAATAAAGAGCATGAATAGTGATTGTTTTATGTGACTTCAATAACTAAACATGATTTCTTCTTATTTTAATCTTGAATTCCTTTGTGAAGAAGTGAATCCTTTCAAAATGAATAGTTCAAAGTACTCTGGAGCATTAAAAAATTCTTGAAATGTCTTCTAGGAAAAACTTAAGACATTTTTCAGATGCTGGGGAGAAGACTCAGTGGGTAAGAATGTTTTCTAAGCAAGCATAAAGACTTGAGTTTGAATTCTAAGCATCCATGTCAAAAAACTGGGTTTGCTTATGTGTACCTATAACCCCAGAGCTAGGAGGAGAGAGACAGAGACAGGAGGTCCCCAAGGAATCCCTGAGTAGCTAGCCTAGCTGAAACAGCAAGTGTTCAGTACAGCTCAGTGAGAGACCCTGCATTAAATGCACAGTGATAAAGACACCTGATATCCCCTCAGGCCTCTGTATACATGAAGGGCAACCACACACTCACATGCATAGATTGCACCACATACACACACACACACACACACACACACACACACACACACACACCAAAAAACCACAAAAAAACAAAACCAAAAAAAGCCCTCACTTTTAAAATTTAATATAGGACCCTGCGGGAGGTAGAATACAAGTCTTACAATATTTTACCTACTTCTAGAGTTTCTCCAGCATATTTTTAAAGTGAGACCAGTTAGAAATTGAAACAATTTCATAGTACTATAACATATGAATTACCTCACAGGAAGCCTTTTATTAAAAGAAAAACGCAAATAAACAAAAACCCTAATATTTTCTAAGTATACCAGACTGTTCTTTAGACAGCTGTTTCCTCAATCTCTCTCTTTGCTCCCCAGTAGTTTTTCTACTTCATAAATTTTAAGCATGATCTTAACAAACTTAACTCCAATTATTTCTCAGTTGATTTTCTAGCCTATCTTTATTCATTAGTCTGCTTTTCCTTCAGCACATTTGTGAAAGTCCATTTGATCATTTGCCTACTTTCAAACATGAACCCATTATGGTACTTTGCTACTCTAATCCAATTTTGAAATGCTTCATGTTACTTGACAATTATTGCAAATCGTGCTGCTTTCTTCCTGCTGGTTTTGTACTAAGTATAGACAAGACCCAGACTATTGAACTCTTGAGTTGGGCTGCTAAGGCGCGGGGAAGCTTTGGGTGAGTCAGTGAACCTTCCTAGACCGAATCCAAGCACATGTAAACTGAAGGAAATGTGACCTGTCTCAAAATCACGCCACGTGGAAGGGACCCACGTACTTTAGATTACATATTGAGATTATATATAATATATACTTTTCTTATTTTGTACCAGTTTCTTTAGGCGCTTCCGTTAGACTTTTTAATTTAGCAGATGTGGCAATTAATAGCAAATCATTGTCACTTTGGTTTAGTAAATTGTGGTGGATTGAATGAGAAATGTCCCCTAAAAGGCTCAAGTATTTGAATACTTGGTCCCCAGTTGGTGGCACTGTTTGAGGAAGTCAGGAAATCCTTAGGAGGTGTAGCCTTGCTGGAGGAAGCATGTCAGGGAGGATTCACTTTGAGACTTCATAGCCTTACCCCACTTTTAGCTTGCCCTCTGCTTTGTGATAGTAGTTAAGATGTCAGTTTCCTGTTCCTCCAGGACAAGCCTGGTCCATGCCTCCCTGCCATGATGGACTCTTATCCCTCTGAAACTAAACTCTTTCTTTGACAAGTAGGCTTAGGCTGTGGTGCTTTATCACAGCAACATAGAAATAACTAATACACAAATCTTTAGGTGGTCCTTGAATACATATTTACATTATGCATATCTCATTGCAAATTGACAATTAACCAATGAGGCAGATAGCTAAAACTGATTGTAGTTACAATATAGCAGGATAGTTTACAAGGCCCTTTGTGTATTTTACCTTCAAACTCAAAACAATTCCCAAAGTTAGTATAGATCATTATTTCTATTTCATAGTTGATAAGCCAAAGCATAAAAGGTTCAAATATTCTACCTCATAGGGTCTAGAATCCACACTTTATGAATTCAGAGTCTGTGTCCTTACCTACTTTTTGAAATTGGTGTATTGTTATTAACATATTGGAAATCATGTATTTAAGCAAAATACAAGTACTACATCTTTTCTTTCATTTGTAGCTCCTACATTTTATATTATCACATGAAATTGTGTCTGAATATATGGCATCAAAGTATAAAACTGTGTAAGGAAATGAAGGGGACTAATGGGAGGCAGAAGGTAAGATGATGGACAGGGTGGAGAGACGTGTGGTGGAATATGGGCAAAGTACCTTATGTATGTTCATGAATTGTCCTTATACAGCCAATACTATGAAAAACGAATACACACCAATTAAAAAAACTCAGAACACCCCATGTGGATAGTCAATTGCACCAATGAGGAAGTCAATTATTTGAGGGAGCATTTCCTATGCACCAAAGAGCTCTTCAGTGACAGCGTTAGAGCTTGAACTTCTGTTTGAAGTCTGAGATTTTTCCTCTCCATTGATTCTATGTTTCCATTAATATCTCAGTATGTACAAAACCACAATTCTGTGAGTCATGTATGTAAGGGTTACCTAGCAGATATCAATGAACAATCAGGGTAATTGCTCACAGATATGCCCACAGGCCAACCAAATCTAGAAAATTCTTCATTAAGACTCTCTTCCTAGGTGATTTTAGGTTTGTCAACTTGACAGTTAAAACTAACCAACACAAAATTGCAATGAAGTTGATACTATATAAGCATAAACAAAGCTTTCCCCTCCCCTCTCTCCATAAATCCCTTATCTGGGTTCCATCTACCTGTCATCATATTATCTATCTATTCATTCAACTGAAACCTCTAACCTGCCTATTGTCTGTATGATTAAAAGGATTTAAGGTAATTCATGCAGCCTTACTTGATCAATACTTCAGAGGGAAAAGACAGGTAAAAGGAAACTATCTTGAGAATTTCTTGGACTATTGGCAATAGTATAGTTTCTAAAATTCCATGAATAATCTTCCCACAATTCTTAAATAAGCCATGTTAACAAAACCCAAACCCTGTGTATGATATGCGCAACAAAAATCAAATACAAAGCTCATCTCTTTCCCTTTCCTCACCTCTCCCACCCTTTCTCTTGACATCTTGACACAGCCCAAAAGTCATTGGAAGGGACAGAGATGGCAGAAAAACTTAGGGAGGGGCATCAGAGTAAGAGTGTCTACCTCGATGGTTGCTTAGTGGGTGCTTCAGCCCTATGTTAAGGGAAGGCTTCCATAGACAGAGATGGTAAAGGGCACCAAAGCAGAGCAGGTAAGGGTGGGGCTCTCCCAGCACACAGGTATAATTATTGGATACTGTCTTAATTTATTGTGCTAAAAGATTGCTCGAGTCCCGATGATTTTCTCAGTAATGCTTTCTGACACCTTCATCTAGTCTCAAGTAAACATGGAGATATGGGTACCCTAAGATCTACTCTTGCCTGTCACGAACCTGGAGCAATGTGCTATCTTGGGTGCCCTGGAGGACAGGCTAACCATTGCTTTTCATCTTCAGTAGTGTGTCCAGCCCCCAGTTCCATCCTGTGCTGCTTACTGTGCCTTTTCACTATATGATGCAAACCTGGCTTCCAGCTTTTGTATTTTGAGCTTGCTACAACGAGTTTGGTCAATTATGCTCGATGCCTGTGCCTCTCTAGCACCTTTCTTGTCTCATGTAACCCTTACAGTCAGATCCTTCTCAGTTGTCTATTTATACATCTGCAGTTTTGGACCTAAGTCACCTCAAATTTGTGGGTGCAAATACAGTACCATTTTTTGTTGGCTGTGCAATGGTTTTGCATTTGTTACATGGCAATACTTAAGCTCTGTACTTCTGTCTTGCTTCTTTCAGTGAATATTTGTTGGTGGGTCAATAAAGTTATTGCAAATACACTTGGTTGAAAGGGGAGGGAGACATATCAGGCCACACACAATCTGCATGCTTCTTCAAATTTGATGGATTTGTTTACCTCCTACACGCATCCTCTTACAGCTTCAGTCACTATTTCTGTCATCACATTTATTCTGTCAGCTCTCACGTCATTCCTCAAGATGAGACTTGAGGCTCATCACAGCCTTTCCTGTCCCTGTCCAAGCAGATCTCTCTCTCTCTCTCTCTCTCTCTCTCTCTCTCTCTCTCTCTGTGTGTGTATTTGGATGAAGCATCACATTGCAGAGCATGGGGCCTGACTGCACGTGTGGCACACAGCTAACCAGAAAAGATGAGAGCAAGGAGGAATTCCTCTTCCCTACACTTCTCTTAGCTTTAAGGTTCAAGATGATCCCATAGGGCACTTGCTCTCTCACACACCTGGGTAATCTGCCCTGTTCCCTGTTCCCTTGGGAAGCTTCCTCAGGCTCTCTAATGCATCCGTCTACATTCACTTTCCCTTCTGCCCTAGTTTCCCCACTTTTACTGATTGTACCCTTCAGTAAAACCTTTTTCCATTAACTATGACTCAGTCTCTATTTTCTAGGCTAATACACTCCAAGAAAGAAATGAACTTGAGTTCTATCAAAATGCATTCAAGATCTATTTAAGATCTATTAGTGGAAGCTCTCAGTAATGACTCAGTTTGGCATGCATCTGACTGCATGGTGCTGAGATGATATCTCGTTCACTTTGTTTTGGCAGGCCAGGAACTTTACACATAGGGTGTTCGTTACAAATCATCTTTTGCATGAAATTGGAATAACTTATCAATGTTTTGGAGAAAAGAAGAGAGACTATAAGCAATTACCTGGATCAAGATAACTGAACAAAGCCACATACAACTGAGTTTACCAAAATTTCACCACACTGTGAAAACTCTACTGAAACTGCTTTTCTTCCATAGTGCCTAAAATCTATGGCAATTCAAGCCAGGCTGATGTAAGTATAATAAAATACTTCAAGTGTGGGTACTCTGTTAGAATACAAAGATTTAGTTTATGGATCATTTCATTTCCAGGAGAAAACAAATCTTCTCCAAGAATATGAGGCTGATAAAGAAGACAGACTAGGCAGGCAATGGCTTTTACATGTACCATGTAGTTGAACTTAATTTTTTTTTTCCTTTTTCTTTTTATTTTATTTTCTATTTTTAGTTTCCCTGTAGCCCCAGCTGTCCTGGAACTCACTATGTAGACCACGCTGGCCTTGAACACACACTTCCTTTATTCTTTGAGAATTTCATATATGTGTAAAATGTATTTTAATCAAATCCACCACCATCCCTCCCTCCTCCCCCGCCACATCACCCATCATGTCTCCTCCTTCTGTGAGTCACTGTGTTTGTGTGATGGCTCAGTGAAAAAAGATGCTTGCTGCCAAGACTGATGACTTGAGTTCCATCCCAGGTATTTACATAGTGGAAGGAGGGAACAAACCTCCTCAGTTTATACACACACACACACACACACACACACACACACACACACTGTGGCACACATGCCCACATGTATACATATACAATAAATAAATGTAGTAAAATATTTAAAAGAATAAAGAGTCACTATTTTTATTCTTATGAACATACCCTTCAAACATATTAAAACAGATTTTCTTACAATGGAAGGACTCACAGTAAAATAAAAGAACAAAAATGTTTTCTGAGTTGTATATGCTGCTTACCCCTTTAATTCCAGCACTCTGGAGGCAGAGACAGACAGATCTCTGTGAGATGGAAGACAACCTGGTCTACATAGTGAGTTCCAGGCCAGCCAGGGCAACAGGGAGTCTCTGTCTCAAAAAAAGTTATCTATCCATCCAAAGTTACTGTACTATCTGACATGTCCATTTCTTTGGAGTCAATGATAATAGGAAATCACACACCGGACCAGCACACTAGTGTGGCAAATGTTTTAGGATTAGCAGACGCCTAGATACAGTTATATAGATTCAGTGTCTATACTTTTTCATGAAGTTCATCTCCTTTGGGTAGGTTGATATTTTTTAAATTGGACCATAGGAGCTGAGGAAACCTACCATCAGCCTTCTACCGTATCTGAAAGCAGATAAGACACATGTGTGACAGCAGAACTGTTACAGCACTACAAGATCAATTATAAAGAATGAGAAACTATTAGAGTTTAAATTGTACAAGGAGGAGGCGTGATGGTTAACTTCCATTATCAACTTGAATGGAGTAAGAAATGCCTAGGGTCATTAGGGAAGCACAGATCTGGGCACCTGTCTGAAACCAATTCAGAGAGGATTAACTGAGGACCCACCCTGAAGGTTGGTGACAGTTCAAGACTGAGTAAAAAGGAAAAAGAAGAAACCCTGCTTATTCCCACCCCTGCTGTTTCCTGATCCATAGAGATGTGAATAAGCAGCTTTCCACTGCCATGGACCAGAACTGGTCCTGCAAGCATTCCTTCCCTACCAGGACAGACTATATCACCTTACACATAAACCTTTAAACATTTGTTCTCTTGAGTTGCTTCCTGTCAGGTATTTTGTCACAGCAATGAGAAAAGTAATCAATGGAAGGGGTGTCATTATTTCACTGTTGTTCCACCAGAGCCTGCTATGCTATTTTACTATTTATAGTAGACATTTGAGATCATATGAGTTTAAAAAATGAGCCTGGACACAAATGTGTTCATCAGGCATAATAAGTTTACAACATTAAGTACATGTAAAAATGTCAGTAATGACTCAGTTTGGCATGCATCTGATTGCATGGTGCTGAGATGGTATCTTGCCAGGTGTGGTGGCACACGCCTTTAATCCCAGTACTCAGGAAGCAGAGGCAGGTGGATCTCTGTGAGTTCAAGGCTGGCCTGGTCTACATAGTGAGTTCCAGGACAGCTGGGGCCACAGGTAGACCCTGTCTCTAAAAGACCAAAAAAAAAGTGTTACTGGGCATGTAGGGCATGAGCTGTATCGAACTTGCTGCTGCTGCTGCCTGCCCTCCAATGGGATGCAAAGACTTGAGGGCATTCCCTTCATACCATACCCTAGTCTGATCCAGAGTCAACATTATACGGAAGGGTATTGGTTTAATTGACAATATATACAGCTCAATCTTCTTGATATGGAGATGTGTCAGACTGTTCTGACTTAATAGAAAACAAACATTTTTTTCCTTCACTTTTTTGTCTTTTCTTTCTTCTTACTGGTTTTTGTTATAGAGTAGATAGAAAGCAATACTAAATTGAACAATATGGAGTGTGATAATATCTGCATTTGCTAATATGTTTATAATGAAAGACTTTCAACTTTTCAAAAATCATCCATTTAAAAATTAGTGTCCATTACTGAAGAAAATATTTTTTTTAAGTATTTTATTCTTACAGAAAGGCAGAAAAGCACGCAGCATGATAAAGCCATTTATCATAGTCAGCTTAAAATTGGCAAAGCTCATGCCAAGCACGGGCTCTGTGAAAGATTTCATGGTCAATTAGGTAAATACATGTATAAAACGGACCCAGCACAGAAGATCACAAAGCCAATTACAGATCATGTTTAATTTCACCCCCCTAAGTCCCAGAAGTAATTTTTCCCTTCACAGTTTTCAAAAAATCCAAATAAAGTGTACAATCAACATTTTTGAACACTATAGAGAGCATTATAATATTTTGTAATGTCAGGTCATTTATTTCAGAAGTCTTGTTATGCTCAGTTGTCAGCATGGCTGAGAGCTTTCAAGACCCCCAGCTAAGAGAGTCTCACCTAGGTTGCTGGACAGCATGAGAGACATAAGTGTGCCATTTTAAGGATGTATTTTTCTATTTGCAATACAAATTTGAGGCACATAGTTAGTTGTTTGCATTTGTGTAAGATTCAATTTATATTATGGAATGCTTGCTGACGCATGTTCCATTCAGCACTATTCTGTCCTACCACTTTATACATGTTGGTATTCAAACTAGAACAGTATTAAATGAACCTTTTATGCTTTAAATATTCAAGAGTTTTATATTCAAAATTTCTTCTCTTACTGTCAAACTAGTTTGCCTAAAGGCAAGGTAAGATCAAGTTAGACTCTCAAAGGTAGAATTAAATTTTATCATGGCATCCATCATAATATACAGTTTGCTTAATATGCAAATAGAGTCTATGGATTCAGAGAATAAAGGAATTTTAGGTACTGTGTGAAATCCAAGGGACCGCTTTTATAGAATAGATTCCTTTTAAATTTACATTTCCATCATTTTAATGAAAACACACGGTAAACAAATTATAATAGAAATGTTTTAACTTACATTTTCAATTCAATTCTGCTTCTGAACTGTATTATTTTTCCTGGCAGCTCTTTACTTAAAACTAATAAAAATGGGAGAGCAGAAATTAAATAAATATATACTAAAGAAATTTTTACCTCAGCCATTTTGGAGAGTTCCATCCAGTCGTTTTTGTTGTAACTGCACATGATGCTGGCGATCACAATCTTTACAGACAGAAGAGAGAGAACATGAGTTCAAGTGGTTATTTATGCCGCTTCACCGAGACAGATTAATATCTGTAAAAATGCATTTATAATGGCAAGTTACATTATAAAAATTAATTTACAGTCTGTTGAAAAATAAATCTCATTAGAAAAGCAAGGGCAAACACAGGATGCCATTTGAGGCTTCAGACATGTGTAAGGGTATTCTCCCTTATTGTCATTGCAAACCACCGGGATTCTGTGCATGTGTTGGAGTGGGAGGGAGTATGTGTAAGTATCAGAGGTATGTGGGTACGTGTGTGTGCAGACCTGTGCAAGGTGGATAGGGTCATGACTTTTCCTCTGCAGTTTCACAGAGCTGCTGGGGGCAAGCCACATGAAGCAGGGTCAGAATCCTGGAGAGAAAGTCCTAAGGAACTATTGCATAAAGCTATGAAGGTGAAACCTGGGTTGTGGTAGAGGCTCTAAGATGTTGGAGATGCCAGAGTCATGACACATCTGCTAAAGGCAGCATCATACATGGAATGAAACCACCTTGAGAGGAATGTAGACTTCAGACAGTAAAGCTTGAGAGTGGAGCCATATAAGGCCTTTGAAACCGAAGCCCCTGGTCCTGGACAGCATGTGGTTTTTGCCCTGCTGGTTTTCTGTCTTGCTTTGATACAATCTTTCCTCACAATATACATATTCCTTTTAAAATGGGAATATGTATTCCATGCCATTGTCTGTTGGAAATATGTAATTTGGTTTTTCAAATTTGTTTTTATTGAATTTTTGTGTGTTTCATATAAAACATCTTAAATGTTCTTAATCATCGATATACCCCCATTGTTTTTTTTAATTCATAAAGTATCACAGTTAAGAGACTGACTGGAGTCTTAGAGGAGACTTTGGACTTTTGAGCAGTATTGAGTGTCATAGACTATGGTAACATTTGAAGTTGAACTAAGTGTATTTTGCATCATGAGATGGCTATAAGCCTGTGGAGTCAGGGGAGGATGGTGTGCTTTGAATGATGAATGTCCCCATAGGCTCATGTATTTGAACACTTGGTTCCAAGTTGATAGCACAGTTTGGGGATGTTCTAGAACGTTTAGGAGCAGCACTAGAGGTGAGCTTTGAGGGTTTAGAGCTCTGCCCTACTTCTTGTTCTTTCTCTCCATTTCCTGTGTGCAGATGCAATGTGACCTCTCCACTTCCTGCTCCAGGTTCCATATGGAACTACAAGCTAAAATAAACTCCTTTCCTCCCTACCTTGCTTTTTGTCAGAGTATTTTAATCACAGCAAGAGAAAAGCAGCTAATACAGATGGGGCCATATTGGAAAGAGTTTAAAGCATCAGGAAGAGAAGCTGTTTTCAAAGTTGGGTTAACATGAATCTCTTGATACACTCTAGCATCTGTGGGAGCTATGATTGTTCATCAATTTTTTTCTACAATAACAGATACAGTATTTGGTATAGAGAAAGGACCAATAGAATGAATGAATGGATAAGGTCAACAAAGATTTCAGAGAAGGGAATTGCTTTTAGCTTGTGCGTTTAAGAAGATTAAGTAGAAATGAGTATCATGTATTAGAGAAGAGAAAAATACTATCTGGTGCCATCAGTCTTGGTGATTGAAAAATTCAGCAAGATGGGTCAACTCAATTGATCACACATGGACATTGTCTATGAATTGCTCAGGCCTAAATGATACATCTACAATGCAACCTCTACACCTAAAGGCTCATGGAACACAGAACAAGGGTATTGAAGAGGACACTGTTTAATCTCTCAGTTCTCAATAATGAAGCTTCCTCATGCAGCAGAGCGCTAGAAATACAAAAGTTCACAAATAGCCAAAGTGTAGAAATCTGCTGAATGCTTCTCTTTATTAAACTTTTCCCACCCAAGGCTCAAGGACCATTAAGGAAGAGGGGGCAGAAAGATTGTAAGAGCCAGGGAGGAGATGCAGGACCATATGGAAACAGAATCCTACAAGCTCCTGAGAATCTGCTCATATGAATCTATGCACAGGTCCCATGCAAACTCAGGCAGACAATAACCCAGCAGAGAACTGGGAAAATGAACAGCAGACCTCAATCTTATCTGAAGGAATGTTGGCAACTGATTGGCGCTAGATGAAGAACTGATCTTCCTAAAACAAGGGACTCTAGATAGGCTGACTAGACTTAGTGTACAGACTTACACCATGGAACGGCTGGGGACACTGACAACCCAGTGAGCCTTAACCAGGATGACTGAGTATATGGGCTCCAGTCAGGGGTTATAAAGATGATTAAGATTGTTTGAGCTGTTCTGTATGAAACACACAAAAAAAATTCAATTAAAAAATGCTGTGGAAAGAAAAAGAGCCACTAAGGAGGAGTAAAGAGATGTGATGTACGAATGTTGATGACTGGGAAAATCACAGACCATCAGTTAGATAAATATAGAACAATGATGGGGCAGAAAGCAGGAGAAAGAGCAGCTGTGGGCAGATTCCAGAGAGGTAAAAGTAAAACCCAATGATGAATAGTGGAAGGACATATAACAGGCTTCATTTCTGTTGTTTTGATGAAGGGTCAGCTTCTGTCTGCAGAGGCTATGATTTCCCTAAGAATGTTTGTCCTGCGGTCTAATTTCTAGGGACCAAAAGAAAGTCTCTCTCCACACTTCATTTCCAAGCAGCAAAGGATCTCTATCCAGGTTGTGTACCTTCAGTGACCATGCTGATTCTCTCCTTTCCAAGTGGTCTAATTGTTCAGGGATGCCTGACAGCTCCTCAGATAGAAAAAGGACCAGGGAAACTATGAAAAGGGACAATAGATCTTCTAGGGTTGGGCCTAATAGCTCCTGGTATGGCCCTGTGTAGCTTGAAAAGTACGTATTCCTCCAAGGGGTGTAAGCCAACCAGGGGCGGTGTCTGATGTGGAAAGTTAGCTGCAGAGAGTTAGCTGTGGAGAGTTAGCAGCATGGAGAGAGATTGGAAAGAATGGAGGAGGAGGTGTGTGGCTGCTGTGGTAAATGGCCAGGGTGTCCCACAAGCATGGAAGTGAAATGGGGCATTTACAGACCTGAGGCGAGACTGCTGGCCCATGGGGCGTGGACAAAAGCTAATGGAGACTGTGAGCAGGGCACAGAAGCAACTGGAATGGGCACCGGGCTGCACTGCTCGTTTTCTTTGTAAGTCACCCCACACTCCCTACCATAAAGGAAATCCCCAAACTAAAAATGTCTTATGTTAGTCTGTGAGCCTGGGGCCTTGGGAGGGAGCTGCCCAAGAAGGGAAAAGGGAAGAAAATTTAATACGACAAAATCGGTGTACTTGGCAGCATAAACGAACCACAGGACTCCGGGAAGAACTTGGGGATGTGGGCCTTGGAAAGCAGTGCGGTTCTAGTGGCAGCGTCTGGTCAGCTGGGTTCAGATTCCCAAATCCAGAAGGGGAGAGGGCAGCCAAAGCCCATACTGCTTAATGGGGTTAGCGAGTCACATGTGTTATACAATGGATTATAAAATATGTAACTAAAAAGTTGCTGGCCATGCAGAAAGGTGGGCCACAGCTGTGTTGTAAATATAGGGAAACAGCCCAGTGCGGGTATGTGAAGATTTTTTTAAAGGTTATAGAATGATTAGAAAAACTTCTGCAGGCCTTGGACACAAGCAGAGGACCCAGAGAGGTGGCATGGCCACTTTGCATAATAAAAGATTTTCCCAAGGCAGAGGAAGCGGAAGAGCCTAGGGAGGTACCGAAGGATTCAGTTTCAGCCACAGAGCTTGAAAGAAAAAAAAATGGGACATTTTAACTTGTGTAAGGTCCATGGACTCAGGAAAAAAGACAGATAATAGTGAAAAAAGAAAAGACCTAAAAGTAAAAGTAGCTAAAGCTGCCCCTCAGAGTCAACCTTTGATACAAAAAGAGGGAAAAGCTAACGATGACTCTAACCAATGTGTCAAACGTGTCTGTAGAATAACAGAACACCCTACAACAAGAGATATAAAAAAGACCAGACAAAAGAAATGGTCTGTTTGGGTTACTCTAAGACAAATGTGGCAAGACTTATGTTGAGCCCAAATTCCCAAAGAAAAAATTGATAGAAAACCAAATTTGATACTAAGGAGTTTCTGAAAGGCTTTAAAACCAGAAGAACAGTTTACAAAAGGCATTCAAAGGATAAAAACTGTCCCAGCAGTGGTTAAGGACCCCCAAAGCTTAAATAAGGTACATTTCTCTCCTGAGAAAGGCTATGCTAGGGGTGGAGGCAGTTTTCCCCACCAGGGCCTCCCCCAGCAGCCAGGTATGGTCAATGGAGAGATGACAGATAATGGCTACAGGAGGCAGACCTGCCTGACTCCAGTAAACAACAGGTTCAGCAGGGACAACAGAAACCCCCTGCCTCTTTATCCCGGTGCAGGGTTAGGCAACTAGAGCCAGCACCTGTAAGTGTATCAAGAATAAAAGAATATAAAGAGACTCTATGTAAAATCCCCAGGATTCTGAATAACTCCAAAGGGATAACTAAAGATAGTAAAGAACTAACCAAATTAATGCCTCTTGCCCATGCTATGGTACCTAACAAAGATATATGGAGAAAGCAATTAATATGAATAGATAAAACCTTTCCATATTGTGTTAGACCTTGTCTATGATTGATTTAATATATGATGTTAACCTTTGAGTGTTTTACACACGTGAAACCGATTTGAAAGATACCTGAAGAAACAAAGCCCAGCTATAGCTATAAGATTCTTGGGAGTTTATGGTTGGGTAAGATCTAAACAGAGGCTCCCAAACCTAAACAACTGTTTAGAAAAACTACAGTACCAGAGGTAAGTTGCCCCTCTATGAGCTGTTGATCAGAGAGAAATCCTAGAGGTCTTCAAATTAACCAAGGCTATTGTCACTAATGTGGGTTATACACTAGAAAGGTCAGTAAGGCCAGGTTGCTGAAGATACTGCATGATGTGAATGTGGGAGGAGAAGAAAAAATGGAGCTGAGACTAAGCCAAAACCTCC